AATAATGTTTAGCTGTTGATAAATTAAAGAATAATAAAACAATAAAACAAAACGATAGACTTTTTGTACCCTCGCCGACTAAGGACCAAGGAAAGAGAACTAAATTTGCATACTCTTTGCTATTAGGTGGGAGTGGCTATGCTATTTCCTATTTTCACAATAAATATTTATATTTAATAAATTCTCAAATTAAATTATTTTTATTTAAAATTGCTTTCATGTATCTCATATGTAGCTCATGTAAATCTCTGGCCGAATAAGGGCAGTCAGAGTTTGTGATCCATTGCAATAAGTCACTGCTTCAATATAAATAAAGGCAAAGTGAAAAGTCCAGTGAAGCAAGCTTGCGAAAGCACTCTTGGACTTTCCCCGTAATGATGCTGATGGTGCCACAAGGTGTACGGCATGTTACGCCATTTTGCCAAACCCCATTGATCATCCGAACCGAAACTATCTACTTCGTATCACGAGGACTCAGTAATCATGATTCTGTTGCGTTCTGCCTTTTCATGTTTTGCTGCCCACAAACCACAACCCAAAAATTATTCTCCTACATCGGATGTGGCAATAATTTTAATTACGTAACCGTAGGTTCCTTGTTTTCGTACTAATGACAAGATTCAAACAAGAAGTTTGATGCAAATCATAATCACCACGAGTTTCCACGTGTAGGGCATAAGTCAATATTGGGCGTTCACCGTTCACGAGCGAATATAGTCTTTCTATAGTCTTCACATACAAAGCTCTTCTTTAAAGCATAAACCACTGTTCAAGCAAATTATCGCTTATTTCCCTAATAAGTTAATTTTAAATGAATTTATGTGCTTGAGTTTTTATTAAAATATATTTGACTGCAATTTCTCATTCCGATATATTCAAAGGGAAGCCAAAGTTTCGTTTAATCATTAAAATTGTGACCAGTTTACGGTTCTTGTTATCGAGTTATCGTGCGATACGGAAGACCCAAAGCGATACAATCGCACTTAGGATCGATGCTATTCGATTATTTACTTATCAAGTTTGGCTCTGTGTTCGTTGCATTCACATCGTAATATTTGTGAAATTGATTGGAAAAATTCAAATTTTGAAGAAAAAAAAAGAATGAATAAATAAATAAATAAAGTTTCGTCTCTTCTCGATACATAGCTTGATATTCATAATTTTGATATTAAATTGGTCCGTCTGTGCCCGTTTTTAAAGTATTTTTTAAATAGTTTTCAGTAATCGTTCCCAGAAGTTTTTTTATTAATCCACTCATCCGTTTCCATATTTGATGGTAGCAACAGGGAAAGGGTACCGAAAGTAATTACTTTCTTGTATTATTTTCGCCAAGATTTTGAAATATCAAAGATTAGTAAGTAATGGTCCTACGTTCATTAATTTGATCAATTATGTGCTTTGGCACCGGTAGTTTACTTTGTTTTCCCTTTAGATGTGAAGCTCGATACGTTTTTTTTTTTTTGCTTTCAAGTTAAAATCCGACATTCAACGCTCATACGCTATCGAGTACTGTCAACCGCCACCGGATCACTATTTAATTGTATCGTCAATCAGAATGTTTGTGAAATTATTTTAATTCTATAGAAACCGTTTTTCCAATTTTATATATGCAAAAGATGGACCATCAGCCTCATTCAAAGAATTTAATATAATCGCAAATAAAATATAAAAAAATACGTGCTATGCGTTCCGCGTTCAACATAGGCAAACTCGACGGAGGCAAATTATAAATTTTGAAGCCTATAATTAAAGTGCTCTGGGATATTGCATTGGATACTAAGCTTAATGCATTACCTTCCGTGTGCATACATTGGTGTGTGCCGGCAATCGTTAATTTTCATTTCGTGTCAAATAAAGTTCAGGGCATATAATTCCATGAAACTAGCTAGCTAAGCATGGAATTTTAAATAGAATGACCTGTGGATCTAAAACGGGTCATATCTCGAACGTCAGATTTTATTCAGGAAAAGTTGGCAGTAACTTGCAAGTATGGACACTATATGTCAATAAGTGATACAATATTTATTCTGGCAAATTGGCCTAATATGTACGCAATGTGAATGTCAGAATCTGTGGCACCGTCAGGATAACCCGTCCGACTACCTGCTATACTAAAGCCAAAAAACTGAATCATATATCGTTGGAAGGAACAAGCACGGCTGAATATGTAGAAACCCAAGAACAATGAGAAAGTCACGATGATGTCAAGTTTGTATTTATTTCGAATAACACCCGGTACCCGGAAGAACTGTTCTTGGAAACATTCGCGATAGGTAATGAATGTATTAAACCTCAAGATACAGCAAATTTCAAAAGAAACATGTGTCCCTCGCTTAACGTGGTTAATTCGTATCGTGGTATACGAAACTTTTTATTTTCCTTTTTTTTTTTTATTAACCTAATCGATCATATTGAAAAGTGCCCGCATTTTCGAGCTTCTTTGTGCAGCCTGTTCTCTTTTGGTGTTTAATGCTTCGTGGCAGCCTGCTCCATCAGTTGCAAAATTTCGTTGACTTTTTCAGCGACTGCAAGCGGCATCTTTGAAATCGAAATTTGCGAGATCCGTTCCTATCATAGCACCCTCATCACACACTTCACAATTTTTTTTTCTTTTTGCAACTTTTTTGCCCTTTTTATAGTAAAAAGCATCACATAAGGTATTTCCTCAGATTATTCACTCATTTTCACGAGCAAAGAATTGGAACACCATCTTCACAAAGTAATGCGACCTGGAATATGTTACCTGCACACATGCACGTTTGAGACGATAAGGCGAGTAGTGTCCGATATATAAGCAGCATCAACACCAATCCACGGGAAAAACAACGGAGAATTTTCAATATGATCCATTATAATAAAAAAATGTGAAGCGTGTCGCATCGAAATCGTATTCGCACTGTAACGGAACCGTGTAACGAGATATACTTTGAAATAATCTAATTCAATGCAATGCGAACCGTATTGTATCGAAACCAAAGCCTGAGCCAAACTTAGAACACTTGTTTATTATTCATTAAATTTCGTAAATAAAAAAGCGAGTTGACTTTAAATTTCTCCCAAAAAGCATATGACATTCGCCACGCATTTTAATGAAATGAAAGGCTTTAAGATGTACTTCAAAAACAATGGTGACGGTGACAATTAATTAACGACGAATATTATAGTTAACTGTTTTTTGTTTTTTTTTTTTTTTTTTTTTTTTAAAATTGATTGACACTCCTCTTATTGATGATAAAATAAAAATGGAAGCGTATATTAATTCGATTTGTTGATTCGTTGTATCGAAGCCGTATTATAATTATCCCAAATTTTGTACCTTGTTGTATCGAAGCCATGCTGTGCAAGCACCACGTTCAGCAAGGGACGCCTGTGTTCCAAGAAGTTCGTAGATCAAAGGGACCTGTAAGCGAAGTAAACCTTGTTGACCACCCAAGTTCTACAATAATATAGATTTATTAATTCATTTCATTTTGTGTGCTATGCAAGTTGAATTTTTACAAACAACAAACAAAAAAAAAAAAAAAAACATAAAGCAAGAGTTCATTATTTTAGCGTTGCTATCGTCTTCGTCTTTATTCGGTTACATCTTCAAATGCATTGTAAAACCGAACGAACGAAACTGAATGCAGACTTTTGCACTCAACTGTATTTCAATGGCTGAAAAGCTTTCTGAAATCGGCGTAATTATGTCTACGGCATTTGGGTTTCCCCAAATCCTACAAAAAGCTTGTTATTGCCCTCAAATCACGAGACGAGAGAATAGCCTACCACCAAATTTGCCATATGATGCATTTTTTACACTTTTTTTTTTTGCACGAATTTTTAAAAAACGCATTTACCGTGTAAAAAAGGTATTCTTTTTTTTTCTTTAAAATATTTATTTATTTTTATCTTTATTTTTGTAAATGTTCGTTGAGGAGAAGTGTTGCAAGGTAAAAAACACTCTTCCTTCAATACCGAACATATAAATCTGATCAATAAAGTCTTTGAATGCACAATTAACCAGAATGGAAAGTATTTTCATTTAACCGTTTTGCATAAGAGGAAGCTGTTCTATTTCATTCTGTAAAAACCGGTCAACATTTTCAATGAAAAATCGCCTTTTATCACATGTAAGAAAAATATTAAACAAATGCAATCAGTCATTAATATCGTAATTGTTAAAAAATGTGTGTGAAAATGAAAACGTAGACAAGTATAGAAAACATTACTCAACTGTAGGGATTCTCTACACATTGTCTACATGCTTAAAACACATAAATTCGTTTAAAATTAACTTATTAGAAAAATGGCATTTAATACAATAATTAGGGCGTCAGAGGAAGGTCTTGGCAAATACACGATGTTTTAATAAATTGACTTAAATATATTTCCATGATCTGTTGCAAGAGTAATAAGTGTGCTTGCAGATTTACTTACACAAATATATCTATAACTGCATACACACAGACAACAAATATTTGAACGTTTTTATAATATATAGAGAGGTCTATTTACCACGATTTTAAAACTTGTTTATCAACTGCTTTAAGGCTTCACCCACCCTTAGCAACCCATAAAATTAATCTATTCGAAATATCTCCTTTGCTTTAAGTGGCCGTCCTTAACAACCAATTCTAATGCGAGCATACTATTGCGAGTCTCAATTGTTTGTAAATGTTCTGAGTCAATTCGTAAGGATGGCCTCTGAATGGTGGATACCGATTGTTAGAAGAGTCTTTTCTCGTATGAGAAAAGACCATGCACGTTGCCCTCTAACTGGGCGGAATGTGTTCGCTTCATAAATCGCAGTTTCCCGGTATAAATTGATTCCCTGAAAAAAAAAGGCGATTTTTACAGTTTTACAAGTCTCATATGATAACTTCACGTTCACGCCAACCTTAGTGCACTAACGGACTGCACGCCTATATCCTGTAAGCTGTGTTGCAATCCAACTTCCAAATAGGGCAAATACCGTAGAACAGACCCTTTATCTACAATGCTGCCACTGACACCCTGTGCTACCTTTAGTTTGTCCATATCATTGTGATAATAACGGGACATAGCAGCGCCCTTTGCATCGCGTCTTTCCATAGCCTCCAATGAACCCATTCCTCGATACTTCTTCAAACGAACTCCATCAGAAAAGAAGTACTCACCAGGGGCCTCTGAAGTTCCGGCTAAAAGGGAGCCCATCATAACCGCACTCGCACCCAAAGATAAAGCCTTCACAATATGTCCTATAGACTGAATTCCACCATCCGCTATGACTGGCACCCCAAATTTTCTAGCAAAGCTAGAAACTTGATAAACGGCAGTAGCTTGGGGACAACCACATGCCATTACCTCCTGAGTTATACATATTGAACCTGAGCCCATTCCAACTCGTAGACCATCTGCGCCAGCTTCAATAAGGTTTTTAGCCTGCGCTCGTGTTACCACTGAAAATCATATAAATCGAATATAAATCTTTAAGTATTTTTTATGAAAGAGAAGCGTACCGTTTCCTGCTATTATCTGCAGGCCGGAGTAAGCCTTTTTAATATATTTGATCATTTCAATTTGATAAATGGAGTTGCCTTGTGATGAATCTAGTACAATGACATCAACGCCACTAGCTACTAATAGCCTTAAACGATCCTTATCCTCAGGACGGGTCCCGATGGCTGCGCCAACTAGCAACTGTTTGTTACTATCCTTTGAGGCATTCGGGTACGAACGAGCCTTCTTCAAATCTGTACGAGCTATAAGGGCCACTAATTCCCCATTCTCATTAACGATAGGCAATTTGCCCTTTTTGCTATTCTCCAAAATTTCATTAGCCTTTGGTAGATTAATGCCATTTGGAGCAGTGATAAGGTCAGTGGTCATTATAGATCTCAATTTGATATCTGGCTGACTTTCACGGAAGTCAATGTCCCGCGAAGTTATAATACCCAACAATCGACCCCCTAATCTCCCATTCGCAGTAATAGGGTACCCGGTAAATCCATTTTTGCGTCTTGCTTCCAGCACATCACCTACAGTATTTTCAGGTGACATTACAGAAGGATCGCGTATGAACCCATGCTTGTATTTTTTGACTTTTTGTACTTCATTGGCCTGATATTCGGGTGTACAGTTATGATGCAAAATTCCAATACCGCCGCCCAACTAAAAACATATTACACACATACAAGTATTACTGAAAACACAGAACTGCAAGACCAACTAAGGAAAGTGATAGCGTTTATTTATATGATTAATACTCACAGCCATAGCAATGGCCATATCGGATTCCGTTACAGTGTCCATAGGCGATGAGACCAAAGGAGCCCTCAAACTAAGCCCTTTTGTCAAAGGTGAAGTAAGATCAACTTCTTCGGCAACAAAATCTATATAGCCCGGAAGTATGAGAAAATCGCTAAAATGAAAATATCAATTAAATTATAGTTTTGCTTTAATAATCCTGCAAAAACTCACTTATATGTAAGACCTTCGGTGCTTGCAAATAACTCATCGCATGACAAACCATCCTGCAGGTCATCTGCTTCCGAGAAGTTGCTTTGAAAGCCGTTGCTTATTGTACTTAATGCCATATTGCGTTTTAGCGTATTATTGCAATAAATAGAAAAATCCCTACAACGTAAAATAAAATCTTTGATAAGTATTAAGGCTAACAAATATATAGAATACAAATATTCCTACGTACTAATATTTCTTTTAAATAATTATTAATCGTTGATCGTTGGTTAAGGCAACTTTAAAAGTCCACTAATTTCAAAAGGCACTTGAAAAGCACATTTTTATTAAAGCAATTACCTTCATTCGTTGGAGAATTCACCTTAAGTGAACGAAAATCAAATGTTCAAGAAATCTCTTCAAATATGGCGAATTTATATTAATTCAGGTGCCAAAACGCACTAACTCTATTGCGAACGAGAAGGGTTTCTGAGCGAGGCAACTATATGTTTCGCTTTAAACGTGCCCGAAAGATACAGCGAATTGAGTAAAGAAAAAAATTACGATATTGACAAGTGATCTAATTATCTCGCTTACATGGCAAATGTAAACATCTCGGCAAATAAAAAAAAAATCCGTATCAAAACAATGAGAATGCAAAAAAAGTAAAACCGACATATTTTATTTTAGCTCGCATATCACTTAAACTAAACATATTAAATAAAAAATATGATGTACCAAAGTAACTCAATCCACCCAGACTTAAGATTAACAAATTAAAATTAACAGAATTTTTTTTTAGTTTTAAATTATTGAAAAATACAGCTCGACCCCAAAAACACGTGAAATTCTTGGCGACGAGTACTGAGAAGGTGGAAAATTACATACTAAAGCGTTCAGAATTTTTAAATTAACCCCCATGTAAAGTAGATATAAATAAAACATTATCTTGCGGCTGCAATTCATAATCCAATTCACCCAGAAGCTCCCAATCAACGTCGTTGATTAATATTAGTATACCAGAGCGCACTGTCTCATCTCTCATAAAGAGGTCTAACCGTTGGGTGAGTATATTTTCACTCATCCACTTCAATAGTCTACGAATGTTCCATTTTTCTGAATTGGCTGAATTGGTTAGACAAACTTCTCTTTTTTTTATGTTTCCAAAGAGCAACTCAGCACCGGAATTGAATTCTAAAATAATATTTAAAGACATTTGACACTAATATGAATAGTTTTTGCTAATATCTTGAACAAGAAACCAAATACAAAGTCACACAGAGGTGTATTTAGCAAACTATAAAAAAAATTATTTGTGTCAATAACAACCCTGTTTAAACATCACCTTTGTAAAGCAGTTCCGTATGTGGTTGTTACTGCAGACTCTAATTTTTGTTCATGTTTGTTACGCACGTACTATTAATACTTGTAATAGCTTGTAAACGTGTTTCTTCGTACGTTCGAGATAGATTGTAATTTGTGGACCTCAAGGGCGCCAAATCTAGTTGCCTGTATTTGTTTCCAGGGGCTCCGCAGTGATTGATTTTGAGACTTCTATTGCTCATTGTACAAGTGCATGATTTGCATTTATAGGTAGCTTCTGAGATATGAAGGGCTTTTTTTTACCTGTTTTGTATTGCTTAATATTGATGTAGGATTTTGATTTTAGATGATTTTGTTTAGTTATGTTGTCAGTCTTTCCCCTGATGTTAGGTTTCATCGAAGGGGCGTTGATATTGAACGTGTTTGACGTCATACGTGTTTGGGTGTCATGCTTGATAATGATCTCTGTTTTGGCAAGCGTGTGGACATAATATCTGGTTGAGTTTGGATAATCTATGTTACGCATCCAACTCTGTACCAATCCTCTTGCAACTCTTTTTTTCTTATATCGTATTATATTGTATTAATTACGAAATACATTTTTTACACCTCTCACCGGCTGTTGATTTGCTGAATAGGAGAAGAAGATTGCGAAATACTAAGAAATAATAAAATAAATAAATAATGACAATTACATACCAAAACTAACTCTAACTTTATTAAGGCTCAAATAAAGAACTTGGTGTTCACATTGGACTTTTTTTACACATCACGGCGGATTGTCGGTTGTTTAATAGAAGAAAAAGATATTATTGTATACGAATGGTTCTACGTGCAAATAAGTCATGAAAATTGTTAAAAATTTACGGAGTTTGCAAAATTATTGAAAGAAGGATTATAACATAAAGAAAAGAAAAACAAAGAGAACTTCTATGAAGTCGTTCTAGCCGATCAGAGGGCTGCTGGAGTAAATAAGGAGAAAATAAACAAACCTAAAAATATTTATATCCAACGTTAAATAATATAAAGGGAAAAATAGAAATTATAATGAGTTTACCGGCCGCTTTATTACAGCGTTTACGTCAACGTGGATTAGTGTCAAAGCTAAAATATCAAACTCAAATTGAAAAAAGTGGTAAGTGGCAGAAAATGTTATTTTATATAGTTTCTTATTAAATTTATTTAAAGAACCTGCAGCATCGCAACCGTCGGAAGAAGAGGTCATTGCTGAAGATTATGATGAAATGGAAACTGAAAATCCGCATCAAAAAAATATATCTGAAGAATTTCAATATCCTTCGCAATACGATCTGGATCACGAGACAGTGCGAAAGCGTTCAGAAGACAATTATTGGTTGACACAGATGAAGGCACGTATGGGGGAAGCAAGTTCGTCATTAGGCTACAAAGGTTGCCCTAATAAATACAATGTTTGGCACAAATGTACCTTATACTGCGTAAATCGTTGGGCAGAAGGTGTCGTTAAACCCAGTGTTGAATATATGAAACGTTACAAACGGTTGCTACGCAAATATCCTTTGCCACATGGTTGGGTAGAAATGTACGATCCTGGTTGTGGTTGCTATTTTTTCGCTTGCGAAGCCGATAACGTAGTTTCCTGGCTACCACCTACACATCCCAAAAGTCAGATTACGAAATGCGCTGCAACTGTAAGAAGACAAATGGAAGAATCTACGCGAGATGATGACAGTGATGTTGAGGAGCAGAGTGATGCCTGTGATGAGAAAGAGCAACATGAGTCTGCACAAGCAAGACATCATCGCGAAGTAGAAGAAATTATCAATGCTTCTATAAGAGCCAAATCACCTCAGAACAACAATTCTTTGGACATTACAGACTTTCCCAGCTTGGAAGAAGCCTCTGATTTCCCGACTGTGGCGCTGCCAAGAAAACAAAAATCTCGAGATTTGGACAAGGCTATTTCAAAGCAAAGGAAGGATCGCGAGCGTGAACGACATTTTGTGCGACGGCATAATCGCGAGGAAACCGATGTTGATCCGATGGATCCTAGTGCTTATTCGGATACACCTCGAGGGAAATGGTCCGATGGGTTGCACGCAACTGATGAGAGCCGTAAAAAGAAAGCCGAAGAAACCAAGCGCAGCAAAACCGAAAGGGAAAGTAATCAGCCGGATGACGAATTCAATTTTCGCTAAGAAGACACATTTTACATGCTCCTCGTTATCATTTGATTATAAAAAATACGAAATTATTCTTCTAGTTTTCATATATATACTCGGGTTCATTCATAATAAAGAAGAAAGCAAACTGCTGTGAAATGAAAATTAAGTATTTTGTTAGATTTCGTAAGTATATACAGTAGCATCTGCACGAAACCAGAAAAAAATTAATTCCTTAATCCATCATGTCAACGTTCCTTTGTTTCTTCTATTCCTTATTTATTACTTTTGTAGCGTAGACCTGAAAAGCTCTCCTCACGATATGGGACACCAGTGATAACATCCCACATAATTATGCCCGTTCGCACGTAAATAGAAAATGGATTCCCTGCTATCAAAGTCAACATTATTAAGCTATGTTTGTTAAAATAGGAAAAAAAATCGGATTCGATTGATTATTTGTCGAATTGTGCTTAGTTAGTTAAAAAATATCAAACGCTTGTTTGTTGCAAGCTGGTTTGAACTAAGTGGTTTAGCTAATAATTCCCTTAAAACACAAGAGATTGTTCTACCATGGACAAGTATCTCTTAATGGATTTGAGTTTAAAAATTTTGAAAGTTAAGTGTGCCGCATATCAAGAAACTATTAACAGAATACTTTTCTTTACTTAAAATGAATTCGCATAAAAGAGAAATCAAAGACAGCTAATTCATCTTTAACAAGCAGGCAGGAAGAAGCAGATTATCCCAGGGGGAGCGGCAAATTGTCAGCAGCTAAGAAAAAGTCGAATATAAAAGTTGAAAACGATGAAGGGAGTGGAGAGATGGGAAGCGATTATGCTAATATTGCATTAAGTCAAAAAAAAATGTATTTGCGTGAAAAAAAAAATATATTTGCACTATTTCGTCAATTTTAAAAAACTGCTGTGATCTTGTATCGACTTGTAGGTATCTAAGATTCAGTCTGAAACTGTTTTTCTTTTATTTTTCCTTTTTTTTTCTTTCAATTAAAATTTAAAAACTGAAATTATAATGAGAGAAATTTAAAAATAATAGATGATAAGTCGTAGAGCAGATTGGAATCTTAAAATTTAATATTTATTTGTAATATCGTTAAACGTTGTAAATATTTCATAACTTTGCGTATATGTATTTTAACGAACAAATATATATATATATATATATATATAGATGTACGTATATGATGTATAAATGATGTATAAAAATACTATATATGATGTATAAAAATTTGTAGATTTCTTTAAATATTTATACTCTTTGCTTTGACAATCAAAAGAGTAGCATGACACCGTTATGACGTAGACGAATCACCACATCGTGCGCCAGGCGTTTGAAAGTTTGAAAAGAGACAAAATTTCCAATGAACTAAAAAGGCTCTTGCAACAAGCTAATAAAGTTGAGTGGCCAACTAACAACTTAAATGTTGACTTAAATGCCGAACTTAAGATTCAACTCTGTGAAATTATCTAACGGACCAAATTATCTAACCGACCAAATTATCTAAGAAAAATTAGCGAAAGCCGTCGGCAAAACAACGACCCAAATTATCTAACCGACCAAATTATCTAAGAAAAATTAGCAAAAGCCGTCGGCAAAACAACGAACCAAATTATCTAACCGACCAAATTATCTAACGCAGATTCAAATCAATTTTTATGTCAACAGACCAATGATACTCTTAATGATGAATCAAAACAAACCGCGTATTCGACTTTAAATGTCCCCAAATTTCGTCAAAAGCATTTCTTGTCATTAAATCCAAAATGTAATCTTAAATGACCCATCGTCTAGTTGGAGCTTATAGCAACAAACACTTTTTCAACCGCTTTGGGAACAGAACTTATTTATTATTTACTTTTACTTATTTAATTATACAAGTTAGCCTAAAAGTAGACCGCCATAATTTTTTTTTTTTATTATCAAATTAAACAAAACAGTAGCTAAATTTTCTGCTATTTACAGAAAAAACATAATACTCTATGCCCATTTGCAAAGCCGTCGGCAAAAGTCCCCAATTTCTTTTATGATATTTAACTTCTCTGCATTTTCGTGTTACCACTGAAATTTTGAACACCCCGTCATTTAGTTGTGCCTGTGCTAATGTTCTCGTTTTGCATGGAATCTGTAGGTTTGTGTCTTTACCGAAAACACAAGTTCACGTCTTGGCTAAATAACAATTCCTTGCGACGTAATGAAAAACCAACAAAGTCATTATGCTTCCCATTCACACTCACCAACTTGGTGGCGAATAACTCGACTTTTTATGCTTTTTATAAGCGACAACAGCGCCAGTTAGATAAGTCTTTATAAGAAAGTTTACAGGTTTACAGTTTCCTCTGATAAGAATTTAGTATAAAACCCGAATTTTTGCAAAAAAATGGCAATAACTACATATTAACACAAGTGAGAAAGTTTTATATTGTTGTGGCCGAATTTTATGTGAATATAAACACAGGTTTGCTTTCCATAAATTGCAACGCTTCGAATAAGTTGTAAAGAAGTCGTTAGAACAACAACAAGTAACCAAGGCATACGTAAACTTTTGTTGAATAAGAAATTAATTTTTCAAACTTTTCTCTTTTTACATTTCGTTTATGTATTTTGGGATTTTTAACATTTTTTATCTACTTTTATTTACTAAAAAAAGGGCAAACTTTTAATAGAAAAAAGGCCATTTAACTCAAATTTATGAAAGTCTTTCTCTAGCTGCTTAAGATTTATTATTTATTATTCGACATTCTTTGAGAGTTTTGGAAGTAATATATATAACAAAAAATGTCGCATGCGATTGAATTGATTTTAAGTTGCGTGTGTTTTGCCGACGGCTTTTGTTAAGTTGGTCCGTTAGATAATGTTATTTGACAGAGTTGGTCCGTTAGATAATGTTATTTTACAGAGTTGGACCTTTCTGGTCTGTTAAGTTGCGCGTTTAATATAGCTGATTGGCGTTAACATTTAAGTTGTTAGTTGGGCACTCAACCATTTATATATATTATAAGCGACTCTGTGCTTTGCCTTTCAACAGGGAATTTAGCGAGGACTTTGTTTAATTTGATAATAAAAATTATGGCAGTGTAATTTTAGGCTAACTTGTAAAATAAAAGAAATTAAGAAATTTTATAATCGCGAATATTGCGCTGTTCATGTGGATAACCTTTTTCAAACATAGAAGTGTGCCTAAAGAATTTTCAAAGCTGTTAATCTGAAAAAGACTTTGTAGAATCGAAAGGCAGTTTACGTTACAATTTAATATTTTGTTTACTAGCTTGTATCTAAAGGAATACCAAATTTTGTAGCGTGGATTTTATTTTGTCGAAAATATTGAAAGTGCTTAGAGAAGTGGTTTACTCGTTTCGCTGTTTATATTAAAGCATTCTATATTTTGTATTCACCAAATATATATATATATATATATATATGAAAGATATTATTATTCTTTTTAATGGTTTTAATGGTTTCCTGATCGTTTCCGATTCTTTTTCCTTGACTTGGTCGCTTTCACTCTTCTATCATCACCTCTAGATACGTTTATTATAAAAAAAACAAGATAAATGAAATTGCTATACTTTACAATATTAGGTGGACTTGACTGATTTTTCCGATTTATTTTTTTTATAAATACTGCAAGATATCCCATAGAAGATGCAGAGAACTTTTCTTGTCGTAGTTATTGTAGTGTGTGAGTAATGAATAGTAACTGCAATTTTCGCACCCTACGTAAGCGGTGGTATAGGCTACGTGAAGTTTGTGCGGACGTGTGAACACCCAATAGACCTTAAGATAGGTGCACTTTCCAGATAATGGTTCTGAAACGATCTAAGCTTGTCTATCCGCTATCTGCTTGTCTGATGTCTGTCCACGAACGCAGGCTACTGAAAATGGTTTGGATCGGTCCATCTTTTCTACGACTTGCCTTTCTTTAATCAGTCCAACATTAAAGAACTTTCAATGTTTTTGCTAAACTTTAAACCGATATCGTTATTTTCGCGACCAAGACAGCCTTTACCACAAACTTTACAAAGGCGGACATGCTTAAATCAATTAAGAACTTGATACTGATCTGACAGGGTTTTAAAGTGCCCTCCTTAAGGGTGAACATGTAACTTATCGTACGTTATGAGTACGACGAAAGAAAATTAAAATTCCCCGGCTTTGGTCGACTTTGTAATCACCTGCTTTGCCTACTAAAATGCTGGCATCGAAGCACGTACTTGTCTTGCTCTCAAAAACGGTTTTCGGCCACCTCTGCGTTATGGTACGAAGCGTGAGAAGAAATGTGAAATTAATTGCGTTTGTTCAATTATCTCTTATTGAGGGAATAAATGCGAGAAATCATTTTTACGCATAAAAATGAAACATAAATCGATTGAATGCAAATATTGTGGAGCAACACTACCCAGCGACCATTCCGTTATATAGTGAGCGTGCGTATCGCAATATGCCCGCGTATATATACGTGCAAGCAATGTGAGATAATAAATGAAAGCCCAACAACCTCCCATCACTCCAACAATCCAGCAATTAAACAGTTAAAATATTCACCTGCCTGTCGTTTCAGGTTAGAGAATAAATTAGATTTTCCCAAGTTTGGGGTCATAGTGAATGCGGTATGCGTTCGCTATTACTGCAACAAGTTCGTTAATATAAGTTTAGTTGATTGTGTACGAAAAGCAGATGAAACTTTTGTGTCAAGATTTTAATTAAGAAGATGTTCGTGCATTAAGTTCGGAGAATTCCCAGCAGCAAAAAAGCATAGTCTGACAGGGGGGGGGGGGGGAAGGGAATAAAAATGCTTTTGCAAAATAGTAACGATACACTCTCGCTCACACGCACACACAGGTGCACATGCATTTATTGACAAATCAAAGAAAAAAGGAAGAAAGACTTTTGGTTACCGCGGAAGGAAGGCGGCAAGGGGGCAATGTATTATTATCCGCGCAATTAATTAGAAGCATATAAAACTATTCAGATCAGTGAAGCAAAATGAACTAAAAAGGAATAAGTTAACTATGTTCGGCTGTGGCCGAATCGCCTATACTCATCATCTTTATCGCGAAAGAAGCCCGAAAGAAGATTACGAAATTCTAATATTCTA